TTAAAATAAAAAAATATTTAATTGGAAATTTTGGGTAAAATTGGGGAAAAAATAAATATTTTTATTTATTTAATTATTAATTTAATAACATCTTCAAAAAAAATTTTTCTCGCTTTTTTCTTTTGTTTTTTTCCTTTTTATCTATTTTTGCCAAGAGAGGTTAATAATAAATAAAAGCAGATGCGCGCAGAATGTGACCAAATAAAGGAAAAGAATATTCACTTTTTATTAAATGGAGAAAAAATAAAATAAAATTATGATGCCTTTTTAAAGGAGGAAAATTTAAAAAGAAAAAAAATTAAATAAGAAAATTGAATAAAATAATTTTTAGGAAAAAAATTATTTTCAAGTCTAGATTTTTTAAAGTTTATTTTCTTTTTGCTTCAAGTTTTATTTTTCTACCTTGCATCAAGTTTATTTATTTTTTTGCTTCAAGTTTTATTTTTTTTGTTTCAAGTTTATTTTCTGTTTCAAGCTTATTTTTCTACCTTATGCTACGGTTGCATAAAAATCGCGCGCGACACGCGACAGAAAAGATAATGTAAAAAGAGGAGAGAAAAATCGCGCGCGATTTTGTCGCTTTTTTCTAGTGGTTACATAAAAAGCGACTTCCGCCGGCGTCTTGTCGCGCGCGACTTTGTCGCTTTTTTGAGTGGTTACATAAACCGCGACTTCCGCCGGCGACATGTCGCGCGCGACTTTGTCGCTTTTTCTAGTGGTTACATAAAATGCGATTTCCGCCGGCGACTTGTCGCCGGCGACACTTTTTTTGATTCAAACATGTTTGAATTTTCGGCGACACTTTTTTGCGACATGCTATTTCTCGATCAATTCTGATCCGATTTTCAAAATTTAAAAAGATTCTGAAAGTTCAGTTTATTCTCTATCGATCAATATAAATTTTATATTTTTAAAGTTAAATCTTATGGGTTAAAATTGATTTTGAAAAAGGTATACTTTTTGCAAAAAATGTTCTTTTTTTCGATATTTTTGAGATATTCAGTATGCCATCGAGTATTTATATTATAACTTTTTTATCAACGGTCAAAAATTCTGATTTTTTGATATGTTGTAGAGCTTTTGATTCTCTATCAAATGATATCAAAAACATGAAAAAGTGACAATTTCTTGATGAGTTCCTCCCTATTTTGGGGAGGAAAAAAAGATAAAAAGAATTTTTTGAATTTTTTTGAAATTTTATGGGCTTTAAAATGAGCCTAAAAGAAAATTTTTTATTAAAGTTCTAGGGGCTTAAAATATTTTTTGAAGTACTGTATCTCCATTTCCTTGATCAAAATTAGAGGTCGGCAAAATCGCACTTCCGGGATCCCGAGTCGGGATTTGGATATAGTTTAGTATACCGGAGTTTTAGTTCCGATATAAGACCCATATAGATCCACCGATATCCCTCTAAATCTATTAGATTTTTACAAATTTAATCTTATTTACAGTAGTCGACATAAAGATAGGGACAGGAGTAATTTAAATGAAAATTAACTATTTTTTATTCAAAAAATACGTTCTATATAGCAATCGAAAGCTCTATTCGTATCTCAGTTGACATGTTTCTGCATTTTTCATGAAATTGAAAATAGGCCGAGATAATCCGGATCTACCAGATATACCAAATCCTATATCCGCGGAAAATTTTTCTGAAAAAATTAGACAAAAAAATCCGGATCTACCAGATATACCAAATCCTATATCCGCGGAAAATTTTTCTGAAAAAATTAGACAAACCCATTTGATAAAGCATATTTTTCTGAGTATTTTCCACAAAACCGCTTAAAAATATCTTTTTCCGGTCCAGAGATATGATTTTTTGAAAATGGCATTTTTCCCTTAAAAATTGAATTTTTCCGAAGGCTCGGGGAGACCTGCTCAGTGCAAAATTTTTTAGAATTTTTAAAAGCCAAGAAACCAGATTTCATCCTCTTCCAGCGCCGCAGGCGAAAATTTAGAGAATTTTATAAGGCCTTAAGATCGGGATCCCGGAAAATCTCGTCGGGATCCTGTCCCGCGCCTACCTCTAATCGAAATATCAATGGAAAAATTCTAAAAAATCACAATATAAAAGCCACAAAAAAATAGTGGCAACAAATTGTCCTATACATTACAGTACTCTGACTTTCACCACCGTGAAAATTAGAGATAAATAAATAAAGAAAATATAGTTGAAAAAGATAGAAAAACTAATAATTTAGTGGTTACATAAAAATCGCGCGCGACACGCGACAATCGCTAGGCGACAAGACGCGCGCGACAGTCGCTAGTGGCGTGGTTACATAAAATCAGCGTTTGTCGCTTTGCGACAGTCGCTTTTGCGGAAGACGCCGATTTTATGTAACCACGCCACTAGCGACTGTCGCCGGCGACATGTCGCCTAGCGACTGTCGCGTGTCGCGCGCGATTTTTATGTAACCGTAGCATTAAATCAACTTTATTTTTTTTTGCTTCAAGTTTTTGTACTCTTTTTCACCTCTTATGCTACGGTTACATAAAAATCGCGCGCGACACGCGACAGTCGCTAGGCGACATGTCGCCGGCGACAGTCGCTAGTGGCGTGGTTACATAAAATCGGCGTCTTCCGCAAAAGCGACTGTCGCAAAGCGACAAACGCTGATTTTATGTAACCACGCCACTAGCGACTGTCGCGCGCGTCTTGTCGCCTAGCGATTGTCGCGTGTCGCGCGCGATTTTTATGTAACCACTAAATCCGATTAAAAATTTTTTGAATATTAACTAAAATAAAATTTATAAAATCAAATCATTTTATTCTGCCATGGTACCGATCAGGTTTTTTTAATTCGTAGTACATCATTTTTAAATTACTTGCTGTGGCGCTCCTCTCGTATCTAGTGAAATCTCGTGTTTTTTAGAGGTCTCGTATCTCGTATTTTGCCACAAGACATGAGATATTTTCAATATACCTATTTTAGAAAAAATGTCAACAATTTGGGACTATTTTAGGATCCTAGAATTAGGAAAAAAGGAAGAAATCTTGCCCAGTGGTCTTCCAAAATTCTCAAATTTTCGCCTGCGGCGCTGAAATTGGAAAGAGGTATAAAGTTGTTCAAGCGGGATATAGAGGAATTTGCCTTCATATCGAAGGTCAAGAGTATTTTCTAGAGAAAATCCCAAACATTCCTTTGAGGTTGTTGAACTTTGATTGGTGGTTTTTCGGTTTTGTTTTCTTGGACGGATCGGGCGACCGGGATCGGGATCCCGGTCGGGATCGGGCGGGATTATCCCGGGTTTTTCAAATCCCGATTCCGATTTTTCTGATCCCGCTCCCGAAATAAATATCCCGATCCCGGCCAATTTCAATCCCGAGCCGGGATCCGGGATCGGGATCGGGATGTGCAGCAGATCCCGATGCAAATCCCGACTTTATAAATTGACTAGAAGTCTGTGAATTAAAGTTAACAGAAGAGGGGAGGCATGAAATTAAGAAAAATTTTCGCCTGCGGCGCAGAAAATGGAAGAAATTTGGCATCTTGACATCCAAAATTCTCAAAATTTTCGCCTGCGGCGCCGCAAAAATAAACAAAACTGTCTTTACACTTTAATGAAATATTGAGTGATTTGGTATGATATCGAGGGATCAAGAGGGGTTGAGGGGAGTATAAGTGGATTTGGAGCATAGAAGGATATCGGTGGACCCCCCTGCCCTGAACCAGAAAGTAAATCATCCGTCTATGAGACTTTAGCTCAATATTTTAGCACCGCAGTGGAAATTTTAGAATTATATTGAGTCGTTTGTGAAGAAAATAAAAATTTAAAAGTTAAAAAAAATTTTTTTAGTAAATCCCGATCCCGAGTTTTCAATCCCGGTCCCGATTCGGGATCGGGACCGGGATCGGTATCTCCAGTCCAAATCCCGATCCCGATTTCGGCCAATCCCGATCCCGTGTCGGGATCCGGGATCGGGATCACCATTCCAAAATCCCGATCCCGGGTTTTTCTCTAAATCCCGATACCGGCCAACTCTACTTCAAATCATCCTTTATCACTCCAAATATACCGTTATCCTTCTAAGTCTACATAAAAGCATTCAAATACTCTTAATCTCTCTTAATCCACAGATATCCCACTTAATCCTCTGATATCTATTCATTCCTCTGTTAATCAGATGATATTAGAGTTAGACCGGGTTTTCACTGGGAAATCAGGAAAAATATTTAGTGTATATATGGGACGAGCCCTACTCATCAAGAAATGGTCACTTTTTTATGTTTTTGATATCATATGATAGAGAATCAAAAGCTCTACAACATATTAAAAATTCAGAATTTTTGACCGATTGATAAAAAGTTATGATAAAAATACTCGTTAGCATACTGAAAATTTCAAAAATATCGAAAAAAAGAATATTTTTTTGCAAAAAGTATACCTTTTTCAAAATCAATTTTGACCCATAAAATTTAGCTTTAAAAATATAAAATTTATATTGATCGATAGAGAATAAACTGAACTTTCAGAATCTTTTTAAATTTTGAAAATCGGATCAGAATTGATCGAGAAATAGCATGTCGCAAAAAAGTGTCGCCGAAAATTCAAACATGTTTGAATCAAAAAAAGTGTCGCCGGCGACAAGTCGCCGGCGGAAATCGCATTTTATGTAACCACTAGAAAAAGCGACAAAATCGCGCGCGACAAGACGCCGGCGGAAGTCGCGGTTTATGTAACCACTAGAAAAAAGCGACAAAATCGCGCGCGATTTTTCTCTCCTCTTTTTACATTATCTTTTCTGTCGCGTGTCGCGCGCGATTTTTATGTAACCGTAGCATTAGTATTTTTGTGGTGTAGTGGTAAAGTAGTGGACTTTTCCCCTTTCATTAGGTGTTGGTTCAAATCCTTTTGGGACCAAATTATTTTTTAATAATTTTTAAAGCAACTAAATTATTTTTTAATTTTAAAAATAATTTTTTGACACTTTAAAAAATTTATTTTAACATTTAAAAATTAAATTCTTCTTTAAAAAATAATTAATTTTTCAGCCCTTCCAGTAATCGAAACAATTGGGGAAGAAGAAGACGAAGAAGAAGAAATTCCCGTAACTCAATCAGTTTTTGGTTTACAAGAATTGCCAGTTACTACGGAATCAATTTTTGGACAAGCAATATTTCTTCTTTTACTTTTTGTTATATTAGCTATAACTGGGACTGGAATTGTTTTGTTAATTACTAAAATTAAAGTTAATAAACAAAATAATAATAAACAATTGGTTGGGAATAAACAACAATTACAACGGTTGGAGGGAAATAATGGAAGGTAAATTTGAATAAAGAGGATTTTTTTGTTAGTGTTTTTATGTTGGGTATTGAATTGTTTTGGGGTGTTTTTTTCTGTGTTTTTGACATTTTTCTTCTGATCCTTTTTTGAAGCAAAACTTTTCACAGTCTTGCCTTGTTTATATCGGGTGAAGACTCTTTTCCGGGCCATAATTTATTTTATTTTTCAATTGCTCCAAATAATTTTTACACCTATCGATAGCTGTTAGATCGCAGATTATTTTTTCTTAAAGGATCATTCTACTCAGTTCTCTTTAAAGTTATAAAAACGTTTACGCTTCAAAACTCGCGATTTTCTGACTTAAAAATTTGTAACTTTCTAAAGAATGGTCGGATCTGAGCAGTCTTGTTTTAAAAAATTAGGAAAAAACATTCAGAGCTATCGATTGGTATAAAAATTATTCAAAATTATTTGAAATTAATAAAGCTATGACCCTTGAAAGAATCCTCATTTTCTTCTTTTTTAGATATCAAAGTTTAAAATACCCATGTATTCAACCAAAACAACATATTGGACCTATCATTAGTACAAGTTGTCAGGATTGTGGTACACCTCGCTTACAACATGAATGTAGTACTCCTCGTCTTGAAAAACAACAATGGCATAATAATAATACTTTTTTGGTAAAAATAAAGAAATTTTTTGAAAATATTTTTGAAAAAAAATTTCAAAAAATTTTTGAAATTTCAAAAAAAATTTTTTTTTCAAATTCCACAGACCCAAACAACCCCCACTTCATTAAAAAAACAGCAACACCATTTATATGTAGACCCAACAACTTATGAGGACCCAACACAAATATTAGCAGCATTTACAAATGAAATATATGCAAAAGATGTTGAAATAACAAGAGTAATAGGTAGTGGTGAATTTGGGGAAGTTTGTTGTGGACGGTTAACTGTTGAAGATAGTTATGGGCAGAGACAGGTATTTTGAAACTTTTTTTGCTTCAAGTTTTATTTTTAATTTTTCTTGAATGCTTCAAGTTTTGTATTTTAATTAAACTTTATTTCAAGTTTATTTTAATAAATAAACTTTGCTTCAAGTTTTTATTTTTTTGATAAATAAACTTAGAAAAAACTAAGTTTTCTTCGTTGCTTCAAGTTTATTTTCAAAAAAAAGTTTATTTAAAAGTTCATTTTAATTAAAGTTTAATTAATAACAAAGTTTATTTTTTTAAACTTAGAATAAGTTTATTTTTTTAAGTTTATTTTTCCAAGTTTTTGTTTCAAGTTCATTTAACTTTTAAAAAAAGTTTATTTTTAACGAAAGTTTTATTTCTTTTAGCAACAAATTGTAGCAGTCAAGCGTTTGTTACCTGAAGCAAGTTGCAAGGCTAAAACAGACTTTTTATTGGAGGCTTCTATAATGGGGCAATTTGTAAATTTAATGAATTATTTTCCTAAAAAAATTTTTTTAAAAATTTAAAGGAACACGAAAATGTTATTAGATTAATTGGGGTTGTTACAAGAACAGAGCCAGTTATGTTAATTACCGAATATATGTTGTATGGCTCGTTGGATCAATTTTTGAGGGCAAATAGAGATGGACAATTAACTATATGTCAATTAGTTAGATTATTACATGGAATTGCTTGTGGAATGAATTATTTAACTGATAAGGCTTATGTTCATAGGGTAAACAAGAAAAAAATTTTTTGAAAATTAAAAAAAAATTTTTTCTAACTTGAATTTTTGTTTCGTTTTTTGAATTTGAAACTTTTTTGCTTCAAGTTTTAAATTTTATTTTTCTTATGCAGCCGAATCTCGATAACACGTCTATTCCCTTATTAAGTCTTGCCTCACTTTTAGCAAGATTTGATTCTCGATAGATCGTCCTTTACGTTAAGACATCGACTCATTTCGGTCCACATCTTAGCGAGATTTTTCAATAGCTCGTTAATATTTTTGGTGTAGTGGTAACACTTTAGGTTTTCACCTTATATTAGTGTTGGTTCGAATCCATTTGCTTAAAAATTATTTTTTTATTTAATTTTTAAAGACGTTAAATTGTTTTTTGAATTCAAAAATAATTTTTTAATACCCCAAAATTTTTTAAAAATTTTCATAAAAATTTTTTAACTCTGAAAAAATTAAAAAAATTTAATTTTTTTTAAAGGATCTGGCTGCTCGTAATGTTCTCGTCGACGACCGTTTAACTTGCAAAATTGCTGATTTTGGTTTAAGCCGTGGATTACGTCCTAGCAACAACAGCAGTGGAAGTGGTTCTCCACCTTTTATTGAACAGGAATATACAACACAACAAGGAGGGAAAATTCCAATTCGGTGGACAGCGCCAGAGGCGATAATGCAACATAAATATACGACAGCTTCGGATGTGTGGAGTTTTGGTGTTGTTATGTGGGAGGTGAGAGAAAAAAATATTTATTTTTTTGTAGGCAACCCTTCATTATAAGATACCTCCCAATAGTAGATACTCCTCTATTTAAGAGACGATTTTTTTTAGAAATTTGAGTGATCATTGGGTAGGGTGAGCTGTATACCTTTAAAGCGGTACCTTTTAATTTAATCTATTTACATCTCATTATAAGGCCACCATTTTGTAGAAACCTCAATAAAATACCCCCAATATTGGGTGTGAAGCAGGGATCTAGCCGACATAAAAATTCGATTCCCGATTTTCGGGAATCGGGAGGGCTAGGTCCTTAGTTGTGGAGTGAGATTTCTATCAAGCTATACCTTCTATTTAAGCTACCCTCAGTATAAAATTCTTTTTTCAGCCTTAAGGGCATATTTTATAAAATGAGTTTTGACCTTAGAAGCTTTTAAGAGATTTCCTAATTTTTCCAAATTTTTCCAAATTTTAAAGGTTTTATCATTTGGAGAACGTCCATATTGGGATTGGAGTAACCACAGAGTTATTCAAGAAGTTATTCATTCTGGTTATCGTTTACCAGCTCCACAAGACACTCCAAAACGTTTATATGAAATTATGATGACTTGTTGGTATGCAGAAAGGAATTTAAGGCCAACATTTGCCCAATTACTTTCACAATTAAATGCATTCCTTACAGATGTAGACTTTTTTTATAAATATATTTGAGAAAAAATTATAGAAAAAAATATATATATTTAATATAGGTGCCTAAAAATGTGATTTTTTATGAGAGAGATTCTTTTATATTGTCTCTAAAAATGTGTTTTTTTCATTGGTTTAAGAATCGGAATAAATTATACCCATATATTGAGAAAAATGATTGAATATGTTTGTAAGAGGGGCACTTGGCCATATAAGGGTTAGGAAGGTAGGGATGAGGGAGATCTCTTCCGCTTCCTCTTCAGATTTCTTATAATGTGGATTTTTTCCTGTTGTATTTTTAGTTTTATGTTCCCTCCAAAAGGAAGGGAGTTAAACCACTCTTTTTACCACTCTTTTTAATTCTTAAAAGGTTATCTTTAAAAGGATTTACTATATTTAGTCTCTCCTTTTCTTCTTTCATTTTCCCGGTGGAGTTCCCCCAGGTAGTGTTGTCGGATCCGTATCTGGAGAAGGTTCCAAGATCAGACAACCTTATTCTTAGAGAGTCTTTTTAAATTGTTTCGGGTTTAGTTAACTAAATATTTTAGGATTAAAAAAATTAAAATTTATTCCGATTCTTAAACCAAAAGTTGCTTTTCCTTTTTGCTTTCATTTATTTTTGAATTGTATACACAAACAAAACTGCCCATCAAAATTCTTCAAAAAAATATACAAAAATTTGTATACTTATAATTCCACGCCTATTGACTTTATCAATTTCAATTTTATTTTTTTGTTTCAAATATTAAATGGAAAAAATAAAATCAAATTTTTATTGAATAAAAAAAGAATTTTTAAATAAAATAAATTCCATTTAATACGAAAAATTTTTTTAATTTTTTTTTGTTCGAAGCACATATTCACGTATCTCAGAGCACAAACTCTCTCTCACTCATTGCCAGAATTATTTTTTTTTTAATTTTATTTTTTTCTCATCGTTTTTTTATATTGACGAGAAAATGATTAAAGAGTATTTTACTTTTAATATTTTTTTTTAATTTAAAATAGAAAAATTAAGCGCCGAACTCTGGTTAATTTTGATGGCTTAAAGGAAAACAACATTAATTCTATTTAAATTAATTCTGGTTTTTGTATTTTCCGGGATATTCTGATTTTTGTATTTTCAGTTAATTCTGATTTTTGTATTTTCGGTTAATTCTGATTTTTGTATTTTCGGTTAATTCTGATTTTTTGTATTTTCCGGGATATTCTGATTTTTGTATTTTCAGTTAATTCTGATTTTTAAAATTATTTTAAATTGTTTTGTATTTTGGTTAATTCTCATTTTGTATTTTTTGTGTTTCTGATTAAAGAATTAGGAAAAGGAAATTTTTGTATTTTCAAGTTTAATTAAATTCTGTTTTTATTTAACCTGATTTTTTGTTTTTGATTTTGTTGTAAATTCTGATTTTTTTGTTTGTGGCTAATTCTGATTTTTGTGTTTTTTGTAATTCTGATTAAACAAGTGGGAAGAGAAACATTTGTATTTTCAATTTTAATTAGAAAATTCTGATTATTCTACTAGGTTTTGCTTATCTGATGTTCGTTCAATGTTTAAATTAAATTCTGATTTGTTTTTAAATGTTTTAATTGTTTTCGGTTGTTTTGATGGGTGTTTTTGGAATATTCTGATTTTTGTTAATGTTTGTTTCTCTCAATTCTTTTCCTACAAACACTATAATTTACCTTACAATTACAATAACTAATTATAGCCCTCACACCCGTAGGCAATAAATATATTGCAAATTGAGACTATTACCGAATTTTCTTTTCGAAATTAACAAATAATTTTAGAGAATAAATTTTGACACAAAAATATTTATTTACAAAATTAAAACCAAAAATATCTTTACATAGCCAAAAAATCTGAACGAGTGGGGATTTTAAAATCATCGCGAAGAGTATACTAAAAATGTAAAGATTTTGTAAAGAAGAAATGGTACTTGTGGGTTGTCCCAAATCAGTTTTGCGGATATATTATTTTTTTACCAGTTTTTGTGGATATATTTTTAATAAGGGGCAGGGCGTCATTATTTGCCTTTTTTTTCTTTTCGAGAAAGTTTATGCGGATATTTGGAGGAAATATCTATGTAGATTGGGATGATTTCATTTTTATACATGTATCTAATCATTTAAGGGTCAACAAAAATATGTTAGAAAAAAACTGGTTTGGGATGTCCCACAAATACCGAAAAAATAATGGAAATTAACCTCAACAGTCAAATTATTATGACCATTAGGACGGTCCAAACATGCAGGAAAGTTAACCCCGACCTACAAAAATAAATATACGAAAATAATACCTAAAAAATTTACATGTAATTTAACAGCTCTATCCTGAATAAGCGGTATAACACGTTGTCGCCTATTAAAAGCAATTGTTCGTTCAAGCAGAAATTCTTCCATAAATTCATTCATGGGGAGTTGGAACTTTGAATACTTTTCACACCAAATAATTATCGTCCCCCGTCTCTTTCCAACCAGTGACACCTTAAAATTTATCGGAATTAAAAATGTGAAATCTACTCAATAATCTATACATCTGTAATATGCAATCCTTCTCTAAAATTCTCTACTGTTTGCCAGAATTGACCAACAGTTAAAGAAGAGAGACGCATAACAGGTCCACCACTTGAATTTCTTGAAGAATCACTCATGATAAAAAAGGAAAGTTTAGGTTTAGAAGACATCTAAAATAAAATTTATTCAAAGATATTTGAATTTTGTGATCAAAATAAAATAAAAAAATTAAATTTAAAATTATTTATTCATAAATTATAGGCAAAAAATTTTTTTTAGCATTTCTTTTATCTTCCAAAATCGATGACAGAAGACACCTAACCCAGTAAAAGCCCCTCCTAAACATTAACCAAAAAAACCTAAATAGGCGTCCTTGTAAGGCTTTCCATTATCCAACGTTTCCAACGAAGCTAGCTCAACAGCATCTATTTCAATTAAAGAAGCCAATTTATTTAGTAAATGTCCACGGGATGAAGCATCCATCCGCCGCCATTCAGAGCCCAATTTGAAGGCATCACAAGCTGCCTGAAATTTATTTATAAATTTAAAAGGTAGAAAAACCGAAATTGCAAGAATGCTTCTTGGTAGAATAATAAAGAAAAGGGTCCAGAAAATTTATTTTTTTGAAAAATCCAAGAAAATTATTTGACCCAAAACAACTTAAAACAGTCAAATAAAATCATTAACACCCAACAGGACTCGAACCCGAGACCCCTAAACTCCCAAACCAAACACATATCCACTACACAACAAACACAACTTTAGAAGTAAATGCATTAAACAACCTCAAAAAATTAACCTTAACATCAGCGTCAATATCAGCCTTATCCACTTCTTGCATTTGAGCAATCTTAGTTTTAGTCGACGGACCAAAAATCTTCGAAAAAAAAAATTAAACAAAAATTTTCTAATTCAAAAAGAAAACCTCTTCTTGAGCAATTTTCATTTCAGATTTAACATTAGACAATATTGTTGGTTGAATAAAGTAACCATTATTTACTTCTTTTCCATTTTTTCCTCCTCTAGTAACTAATTTTGCGTCCTCTTTTTTGCCGTGCTCGATTAGGCGAAGAATTTTGGTTTCTTGATCACCATCAATTTAAGGTCCGTGGCTCAATGAAATCAACTGTTATTTGAAAGTCTAGAGTGACTCATAAATATAATTTTGTTTAGTAATTATCTAAAATTAAATTTATTCAAAAATTTGAGAAATTTTGTGACCAAAAATCAGCAATGATTTAAAAGAATAAAATTTGACATAAAAATATTTATTTACAAAATAAAACCAAAAATATTTTTATATTGCCAAAATCTTTTTTCGTCAAAAAACTCATAAACTTCGACAGAGTCAACGGTCCAGATGTTTAGGTATTTTAAAATCGTCACGAAGAGTATACTAAAAAAGATTTTATAAATAAATAATAGAAATTAACCGCAACAGTTAAATTGATATGACCACCAGGACGGTCCAAATATGGAGAAAAGTTGACCCCGACCTAAACGATCAATATACAAAAATAACCTCTAAATATCTTACAGATAATTTGACCGTTCTATTTTCAATTAAAGGCATAGCTTCATGCAACTTGTAAGCACGTTTTCGCTGATTAAAAGCAATCGCCCCATCACGCAAAAACTCTTCCATAAATTCATTCACAGGAAGTGGGTCCTTTGAAGACATTTCATTCCAAATAAGTAACGACTTCCACCGTTTGCCATACATTGACAACTTAAGAATTAATTAAGTGAAAATACATGTGGAGTCTATTTAATAATTCATACATAATCAATATGAAATCCTTCTCTAAAATTCTCCACTGCTTTCCAGAATTGACCAACAGTTAAAGAAGAGAGACGCATAGCAGGTCCACCACTTGAATTTCTTGAAGAATCACTCATGATAAAAAAGGAAAGTTTAGGTTTAGAAGCCTTCTAAAATAAAATTTATTCAAAGCAAATTACTCTTTCAAAGATATATTTGAATTTTATGATCGAAATCAAATAAAAAATAAAAAAAAACGTAAAATTAAATTTAAAATTATTTATTCATAAATTATAGGCAATAAAATTTTTTGAGCATTTTTCTTTTAACTTTTCTTAATTCCAAAATCGATGACAGAAGACGCCTAACCCAATAAAGGCCCCTAACCCATTAACCAAAAACCTAAATAGGCATCCTTGTAAAACTTTCCACTATCCAAAGTTCAAAAGAAGCGAGCTCGACAGCACCTCTTTCAATTAAAAAAGCCAATTTATTTAGTAAATGTCCACGGGATGAAGCATCCATACGGCGCAAGTCTGAGCCGTTGAGGGCGTCACAAGCTGCCTAAAATTTAATTTTAAATTTCAAATGTAGTAAAACAGGGCTGGAAAAATCCTGCTAATCGGTAAAATAATTTAGAGAAGGGTCAGGAAAATTTGTAAATTTTTTCTGAAGCACTCAAGAAACATATTTAACCTAAAACAACCTAAACATAGCCAAATAAAATCATTAACACCCAACAGGACTCGAACCCGAGACCCCCCAAGTTGTCATATCAGACACACATCCACTACACCACAAACAAAATTTTCGAAATTTTTGACTAAACACCCTCAAAAAATTAACCTTAACATCAGCAACAAAATCAGTCTTATCCCCATATAACACTTGAGCAATTCTAGTTTTAGTCGACGGACCAAAAATCGTTGAAAAAAATTAAACAGAATTTTTTAAATTCAAAAAAACCTCTTATCGAGCAATTTTCTTTTCAGATTTAAAATCAGAAAATATTGTTGATTGAATAAAGTGACCATTATTTGCTTCTTTTCCATTTTTTCCACCTCCGGTAACAAATTTTGCGTATGCTTTTTTGCCTTGCTCGATTAGGCGAAGAATTTTAGTTTCTTGATCACCATCAATTTGAGGTCCGTGATTGACCGAAAGGGTTGCCCAATACGCGACTCTCTGCGAGAATCTTAAATATAAATAAAATTAAATTTTTGAAGTAAAAACTAGGCTTTGAAGCAAAAAAATAATAAAAATTGAAGCAAAAAAGAAAAAATTTTCGCTTCAAAAAAACTTGAAGCAAAAAAATGAAAAAAAATTTGAAGCAAAAAAATTGAAAGGAAAAACACTAGTAGCAAAAAAGAAAAAATAGAAGCAAGAAAGGGAAAAAACTTGAAACAAAAAATTTTTTTGCTTCAGAAAAAACTTGAAGTAAAAATCGAAGCAAAGGAAAAAACTTGAAGCAAAAAAGCTTCAAAAGACTTGAAGTAAAAATTGATGCAAAGGAAAGAAACTTGAAGCAAAAAATTTTTGCTTCGAATAAACTTGAAGCAAAAAAGAAAAAATTGAAGCAAAGGAAAACTTGAAGCAAAAAATAAAAAAACTTGAAGCATAAAATTTTTGCTTCGACCATTTAAAGTACAAGTTATAGCAAAGAAAAACAGAAAGAATGTTGAAGCAAGGAGATATAAGGAGCGAAAAAATGAAGTCGAAACAGAAAAATAAAATTGGAAGCAAAAGATCAAAATGAAAAAAGAAAATACAAAAATATAAAGCAAAAAATAAAAACATGAAGCAAAAAGATAAAACTTAAAAAATTAAACTTGAAGCAAAATAAAAACTCAAAAAACTTGCAAACCTTAGAAGCAAACTTTATTATTTAGCTTCAAGTTTACTTGTTCAACTATCGTAAACAAAGAAACTAAACTTGAAGCAAAAACTTGGAGCAAATTTTAATGAGCTTGAAACAAATTTATTTATTTTTGCTTCAAGTTTATTTTCACATAATTTATTCATTTCAAGCAAAAATACCCTATAATAAAATTAACCTTTATCAACTTTAGGATGTGTAGCAATTGCCTTTCCAGCAGTTGGTCCATAACCAGGTACTATATTAACGACTCCAGGAGGGAAGCCAGCCTTCAAATTAAAAATTTTTTTAAAATTTATTAAAAAAATTTAACCTCTTTAATCAAATTAGCAACATATAGAGCCGTTAATGGAGTCTGTTCAGCTGGCTTCAAAATGACTGTGTTGCCCATAGCTAGGGCTGGTGCTAATTTCCAAGCTGAATTAAAAATTTGAATTAAAATTCAGCTGAATTAAAAATTTTTTAGAAAAGCAATTTCTAAAAATTGAGAAAGGCTTTAAACTGGATATGACTTACAAGGAAGGAGACAGATATTCGGAGAACGGAGGTAGCAAGATTCATAGTGTGTTGTCAACTTCACAATGTAAACTTGCAAATTCTCCGAGGCGAAACAGCCCAGAGACGAACTGCGGAGTAGAAAGGGCGCCGGAGGAAGACCTTCTTCGTTTCATAAGAACCTCACGTCCATTAGGCGGAGGTCAGAAACAACTTTAGCAATAAAATTAAAAACCTAAATAGGCGTCCTTGTAAGGCTTTCCATTATCCAATGTCTCGAAAGAAGCTAGCTCAACAGCATCCCTCTCAATTAAAGAAGCCAATTTATTTAGTAAATGTCCACGGGATGAAGCATCCATCCTGCGCCATTCAGAGTCTAATTTGAAGGCGTCACAAGCTGCCTAAAATATAATTTTAAATTTCAAATGTAGAAAAACAGGACTGGAAAAATCCTGCTAATTGGTAAAATAATTTAGAGAAGGGTCAGGAAAATTTGTAAATTTTTTCTGAAGCACTCAAGAAACATATTTAACCTAAAACAACTAAACATAGCCAAATAAAATCATTAACACCCAACAGGACTCGAACCCAAGACCCCCGAAGTTGTCATATCAGACACACATCCACTACACCACAAATAAATTTTCAAAATTTTTGACTAAACACCCTCAAAAAATTAACCTTAACATCAGCAACAAAATCAGTCTTATCCACATACAACACTTCAGCAATTCTAGTTTTAGTCGACGGACCAAAAATCTTCGAAAAAAATTAAACAAAAATTTTCTAATTCAAAAAGAAAACCTCTTCTTGAGCAATTTTCATTTCAGATTTAACATTAGACAATATTGTTGGTTGAATAAAGTAACCATTATTTACTTCTTTTCCATTTTTTCCTCCTCTAGTAACTAATTTTGCGTCCTCTTTTTTGCCGTGCTCGATTAGGCGAAGAATTTTGGTTTCTTGATCACCATCAATTTAAGGTCCGTGGCTCAATGAAATCAACTGTTATTTGAAAGTCTAGAGTGACTCATAAATATAATTTTGTTTAGTAATTATCTAAAATTAAATTTATTCAAAAATTTGAGAAATTTTGTGACCAAAAATCAGCAATGATTTAAAAGAATAAAATTTGACATAAAAATATTTATTTACAAAATAAAACCAAAAATATTTTTATATTGCCAAAATCTTTTTTCGTCAAAAAACTCATAAACTTCGACAGAGTCAACGGTCCAGATGTTTAGGTATTTTAAAGTCGTCGCGAAGAGTATACTAAAAAAGATTTTATAAATAAATAATAGAAATTAACCGCAACAGTTAAATTGATATGACCACCAGGACGGTCCAAATATGGAGAAAAGTTGACCCCGACCTAAACGATCAATATACAAAAATAACCTCTAAATATCTTACAGATAATTTGACCGTTCTATTTTCAATTAAAGGCATAGCTTCATGCAACTTGTAAGCACGTTTTCGCTGATTAAAAGCAATCGCCCCATCACGCAAAAACTCTTCCATAAATTCATTCACGGGAAGTGGGTCCTTTGAAGACATTTCATCCCAAATAAGTAACGACTTCCACCGTTTGCCATACATTAACACCTTAGGAATTAAGTGAAAATACATGTAGAATCTATTTCAACAATATATACATCTGTAATATGCAATCCTTCTCTAAAATTTTCTACTGCCTGCCAGAACTGACCAACAGTTAAAGAAGAGAGACGCATAGCAGGTCCACCACTTGAATGTCCAGAAGAATCACTCATGATAAAAAAGCTTAGGTTAGGTAATTATCTAAAATAAAAGTTATTCAAAGCAAATTATCTATTAAAAAATATTTGAATTTTGTAGCCAAAATTAAAAAAAAAATAATTGTAAAATTAAAAATAATTTATCCATAAATTATAGGCAAAAAATTGAGCATTTTTCTTTTATTCCAAAACATTGAGATACTTGAGTTCATTCAAAATCGAATTTAATTGTCAACTTCCATATTTTCATTAAATGCAAAACCATCACGAAGCGTGTACTAAAAACATTTATTTTACTTTAGGAATTTAGATTATATTATTAACTGACTAGAAATTAGATTTGGCTCTCTCTATTTATCCGTGGCAGAAACATGGTGTCATTCGAAAGAGTTCGGAAAGCTGAGTCGAACTAGGGTGGCGAAGTTAGTCCGGAATCTAGGGACCGAGATATAAGCCCCGAAAAATTTAAAAGCATAATGTGAGTAGAGCTGTTTCGAAATTTTGTAATATTTTCGTTTTTCGAAGTAAAAAATTCGAAAATGCAATAGCTTATTCTAAAGAGCTCGTCGAGCTGAGACGAATGACACCAGAATCAACAAAATCAAACTGATCTGCCAAAGTTATGAACGCTTGTTTTTGCTCCTTAACTATGGTTTCAGTAGTTTTTGCTGCTACTAAGGAAGCAAAGTACCAGAGCGGTGATGATAGGAATAGGATTATGTTACTGACATGAGCACAAAACCGAGAAACCATTTAATCCAGCGAGGCGCATGTGCAAAACCCATAAGCGCCATAGGTTTACACCCGCCCATATGTTTACCTGGTTTATTTTTTTGTTGTAACTTTTTCTACCCTTGTTCAATCAGTGATTCTGATGACACATGACCCTGTTAGTCGAGCTCTTTCGAATAAGCTATTATTTGCATATTTGAATTTTTACCCCATAATTGGCCCTTATGGTTTTTCAAGTTTCAAGTGACTCAGTCCCTAGGCACCGGAACAACTTCGTCCACCCATAGTTCGACTCAGCTTTTAGTGCTCTTTCGATTGACACCAATTTATCCTATTTCAACCACGGAGAAAAAAGGGCCTATAAGCAAAGAATTCCGTGTACTTTGGAAAGACATTAAAATTACCAGGCAGTCAAGAAAATCAATCGCACCAACAAAATGCGCCGGTTCAACAATTCTGACCTGAACAATCAATATAAAAATTATCCTTTACCAAAAATTTACTTGCAAAATGACGGCCCCATCAATAACATACGGAAAATTTTGAGGAAGATTTTTCAATTGAAGTTGCTGATTAAAAGCAATTGTCCCATCACGCAGAAATTCTTCCATAGATTCATTAACTGGGATAGGGTTCTGATTGTTCCAAACATCAATATCCCCTTCAGTACCACGCATAGAGATCTTAATAGAATTAAAAAAAAATTCTACAGAATAATTTATACCTTAGCAAGCTGGTGTCCTCCAACCCCCCAATTTTGTACGGCTTGCCAAAACTGCCCAACAGTCAACGAACCAACAGTCAAGTCAAAAACTCCATCCTCGCTTGAGTAGCCTGACGATCCAGAAGATTCCATTAAAGTCAAAATTAAATTAAATTCTTTTTTTTAGAATTAAAGCAATTCCTAAAAATGAAATGATTAAAATTAAATTATTTAAAAATAAAAAGATAATTTGCGGATTAAACGCAATTAGAAATTATTTCAAAGTTTAAATTAATCATTAAAATTTTATAAAAAATAAAAATGTGTAAAAAATTCAAGTATAAAGCTCATCCTCAAGAATTCTTTTGGGGAACCTTTAAAAATAAAAAAAAATATTTAAAAAAATAAAAAATTCTAACTTTAATTGTGACAGTCTTCACTTCTGTATAAGGCTCTAATCCATATTCACCCAATTCTCGACCAATGCCAGACATTTTATATCCACCAAATGGGGCTGCAGCGTCGAAAACGTCATAGCAGTTTACCCTTAAAAGGAGAGAAAATTAGTTAAAAGCAGGAAATTAGTTTTGAAAATGTTGGCAAAAATATACATATAATCCCCAAAAACTGAAGCAAAAATAGAAAAAGAGAAAGCTGATCAAAAAAATTAAATTAAAAAATCAAAAACCGAAGAAAAACTTATAGAAAGTAGATTTAGAACAAAACCCCAAAAGCAAGTAATCCCCCTTAAAAAGAATCGAAAAAATAAAAAAAGTAACCAAACAGTCCCAGCTCTGATATTGTTAGCTATATACAAAGCCTTGTCCATGTCTCGAGTAACCACACCAGCAGCCAATCCATAGCAAGTTTCATTTGCTTTTTCTACCAAATCTTTTAAGTCATCAAATTTAATTATTGACATCACTGGACCAAAAATCTTTGAAAAAAATTTTTTGAAAAATTTTTTAAATTCAAAAAAACCTCTTCTTGAGCAATTTTCATTTCAGATTTAACATCAGAAAATATTGTTGGTTGAATAAAGTAACCATTATTTGCTTCTTTTCCAACAAATTTTCCTCCTCCAGTAACCAATTTTGCACCCTCTTTTTTGCCTTGCTCAATTAGTCGAAGAATTTTGGTTTCTTGGTCACCATCAATTTGAGGACCGTGATTAACATTTAAGTCGAAAGGGTTGCCCAAAATACGACTGTCTGCGACGATCTTAAAAATAATAAAATTATTTTTTGAAGCAAAAAAAATAAAAAACTTGAAGCAAAAAAGAAAAAAATTGAAGAAAAAAATAGAATATAAAAAATTTGCAGCAAAACAAAAAAAATTGAAAGGAAAAACACTTGAATCAAAAAATATCTGCTTCAAAAAAACTTGAAGCAAAAAAAAAATTTAAAAAAAAATTGCAGCAAAAAAAGAAAAAATTTTTGCTTCAAAAAAACTTGAAGCAAAAAAAAAATAAAAAAATTTGAAGCAAAAAAATTGAAAGGAAAAACACTTAACGCAAAATCGAAAAAATAGAAGCAAGAAAGGGAAAAAACTTGAAACAAAAAAATTTTTTTGCTTCAGAAAAAACTTGAAGCAAAAAAATAAAAAAAAAATTGAAGCAAGAAAGGGAAAAAAAAGGGGGGGAGGGGAAGGGGAAAAAACATGAAACAAAAAAAGGGGGAAGGGAAAAAAACTTGAAACAAAAAAATTTTTTTGCTTCAGAAAAAACTTGAAGCAAAAAAATAAAAAAAAATTGAAGCAAGAAAGGGAAAAAAAAAAGGGGGGGGGGGAAGGGGAAAAAACATGAAACAAAAAAAGGGGGAAGGGAAAAAAACATGAAACAAAAAAATTTTTTGCTTCAGAAAAAACTTGAAGCAAAAAAATAAAAAAAAATTGAAGCAAGAAAGGGAAAAAAAAAAAGGGGGGGGGGGGAAGGGGAAAAAACATGAAACAAAAAAAGGGGGAAGGGAAAAAAACATGAAACAAAAAAATTTTTTGCTTCAGAAAAAACTTGAAGCAAAAATTGAAGCAAAGGAAAAAAAAAACTTGAAACAAAAAAGCTTCAAAAGACTTGCAAAAATTGATGCAAAGGAAAGAAACTTGAAGCAAAAATTTTTTTGCTTCAAATAAATTTGAAGCAAAAAAGAAAAAAATTGAAGCAAATGAAAAAACCTTAAAGCAAAAATGAAAAAAAACTTAAAGCACAAAATTTTTGCTTCAACCATTTAAAGTACAAGTTATAGCGAAAAAAACAGAAAGCATGTTGAAGCAAAAAGATATAAGGAGCGAAAAAGTAACAGAAAATAAGTCGAAACAGAAAAATAAAATAGGAAGCAAAAAATCAAAATGAAAAAAGAAATATAAGCAAAAAATATAAAGCAAAAAATAAAAAAACATAAAGCAAAAAACCTCAAAATTAAACTTGAAGCAAAATAAAAACTCGAAAAAACTTGCAAACCTTAGAACGTTCCACAAATTCATCATAAATTTTGGATTCCACAAAAGTCCTCGAACCAGCACAACAACATTGGCCTTGATTGAAAAAGAGTCCAAAAGCAGCCTGTTCCACCGCAAGAGGCATGTCGGCATCAGAAAAGATTATATTTGGACTCTTTCCTCCAAGCTCCAGAGTTATTCTAAAAATTTGTTTCTACTTATTTACATAAATAATTAAATAACCGTTTCAAATTTGCTTCAGAACATTCACGCTTGACTTGTAGTCCAACCTCAGTTGAGCCAGTGAATGCAACTAGAAAAATATTAAAGTTGAAGCAGAAATAAAAACAAGAATTGAAACAAGGAGGGGGGGGGAATAAAAAAAATAAACTTGAAGCAAAAAATAAATATAATTGTGGAAAAATAAACTTGAAACAACTAAACACAAACATGAAATAAACTTAAATCGGAAACAAAAATAAACATAAAAATAAAACTTAAAGCAAATCAGAAAGATAAATAAACTTGAATCAAAAATAATCTTGAAATAAATAAAAAAACAAACTTGAAGCAAAAGTTTAATTTTTGCTTCAAGTTAATATGCCCAACTACCGTGAACAAAAAAATAAACTTGAATCAAAAACTTGAAGCAAATTTTAATAAACTTGAAATGGGGGCGAAAATAAACTTGGAAAAATAAATAAAATAAAACATGAAGCAAATTTTAATAAACTTGAAACAACTTTATTTATTTTTGCTTCAAGTTTATTTCCCCACAATTTATACATTTTGAAACAGAACTACCCTTTAATAAAAATTAACCTTTATCAACTTTAGGGTGTGTAGCAAGTGCCTTTCCAGCAGTAGGTCCATAACCAGGCACTATATTAACGACTCCTGGAGGGAAACCAGCCTTCAAATTGAAAAATTTTTAAAAAATTTAATTGAAAAATTTAACCTCTTTAATTAAATTAGCAACATACAGAGCCGTTAACGGAGTCTGTTCAGCTGGCTTCAAGATAACTGTGTTGCCCATAGCCAGGGCTGGTGCTAATTTCCAAGCTTGCATGAGAAGAGGGAAGTTCCAAGGAATGATTTGGCCTGTAAATTGAAAAATTTTTTGAATCTTTAAAAATCATTTCAAAATGTCAAAAAAGGGGGAAATTCCCAAAATGTCAACTCCTCGATGCTGGTCAAAAAAATTTCAAAAAAAATTTTCTTTACCTACCAACAACTCCAACAGGCTCATGACGTGTATAACAAAAATAATCTCCTCCTATAGGTATTGTCTTCCCATGGTTTTTGTCTGCCCAACCAGCATAATAGCGATAAACGGCAATTGAGAGAGGCAGGTCAGCTGAATTAAATTTTTTAAAAAGAAATTTTAAAAGTTGAGAAAGGCCTTAAACTAGGATGTGACCTTACAAGAGAGGGGAAAGATATACGGAGAATGGAGGTAGCAAGATTTACAGTGTATTGTCAAACTGGACAATAAAAATTTTCAAATTCCAGAGGGGAAACAGCCCGGAGACGAACTGCAGGGAAAAAAGGAGCCAAGGTGGAAGACCTCCTCCGTTTCACAAGGACCTCACTCCATTAGACGGAGGTTAAAAACAACTTAAGCCAAAAAATAAAATGAAAACCTAAATAGGCGTCCTTGTAAGGCTTTCCATTATCCAATGTCTCCAAAGAAGCTAGCTCAACAGCATCCCTCTCAATTAAAGAAGCCAATTTATTTAATAGATGTCCACGGGCTGAGGCATCCATCCGACGCCAAGCCTAATTTGAAGGCATCACAAGCTGCCTAAAATTTATATTTTTAATTCAACGGTAAAAAAGAACTGAAAGAATGCTCGCACCCAATTGATAAATATAAGTTTATAAAAAGCCAAGAAAATTAAAAGAATTTTTTTTGAAAACTCCAAGAAACGACCTAAAACAAGTCAAAAACAGTCAAATAAAATCGTTGGCCCCCAACAGGACTCGAACCCGAGACCCCCTAAGTTGTCATATCAGACACACATCCACTACACCACAAACAAAATTTTCGAAATTTTTGACTAAACACCCTCAAAAAATTAACCTTAACATCAATATCAGCCGTATCCCCCTCCTGCACTTCAGAAATTCTAGTTTTAGTCGACGGACCAAAAATCTTTGAAAAAATTTTTTGAAAAATTTTTTTAAATTCAAAAAAACCTCTTCTTGAGCAATTTTCATTTCAGATTTTACATCAGAAAATATTGTTGGTTGAACAAAGTAACCATTATTTGCTTCTTTTCCATTTTTTCCTCCTCCAGTAACTAATTTTGTGCCCTCTTTTTTGTCTGTGCTTGATTAGTCGAAGAATTTTGATTTCTTGATCACCATCAATTTGAGGTCCGTGGCTCAATGAATCCAACTGTTATTTGAAAGTCCAGAGTGAAATTCCACTCATAATTTTAGGTTTAGAAATTAACTTAAATTCAAAAATTTGAGGAATTTTGTGACCAAAAATCAGCAATGATTTAAAAGAATAAAATTTGACATAAAAATATTTATTTACAAAATAAAACCAAAAATATTTTTATATTGCCAAAAAATCTTTTTTCGTCAAAAAACTCATAAACTTCGACAGAGTCAACGGTCCAGATGTTTAGGTATTTTAAAGTCGTCGCGAAGAGTATACTAAAAACTTGAGATTTTATTTATAAAAATAATGGAAATTACCTCAACAACCA